CCTGAGTACAAATCTGTCTCAGAGTCTGCTTCCCAGGGACAATGACCTTATCCATCAAATAATTTTGAGCACCTATCATGTGCCAAGCATGGGTTTAGACACTGGGAATATACTGGTGAATAAGACAAAAAAGGTTCTTGCTCTCATAGGCTTGCAATCTAGTGGTGTGTGTGTGTGTGCGCCCATGTGCCTGACGATAAAATTTCAAATAGTGATAAATGCTGTCAAGGACATAAAATAAGATAAAATGTTTGATTCTTGCTGGTGTGTGTTGTGTGTGTGTGTGTGTGTGTATGTGTGTGTGTGTGTGTGTTCATGGGTGTATGTAGGATTCCAGGGAAGTCCACATTGAAGAAAGGATATTTCTGCTGAGAGGCCCGAATAGCAAGAAAGAGCTTGGGGTATCTAGGAAATGGTATTCAAAGCAGGTGCAAGAGGGACTTTGGTGACTCACATTTTGATTAGTAATGGGGATAAATGAAGAGAGCATTCCAGGACTGGGCTCCTGTCCATCTCCCAATTTATCCCTTCAAACACAGCATTTCAGTCCCTTGGCTCGCTTTCTATTCTTAAGCCAGCTTACTCTGTCTTCAGGACATCGTGCTTGAAGTTCCCTCTGCCTGGATGCTCTTCTAACATCTCTGTCCAAGTGTCTATCTCATCCTCCCCATCATTGCTCAAATGAGACCACATCTAAAGAGGCCTTCCCTAACCCATCCCATTTATTTGCCATCACATAGCCTTTATCACCCTGCTTATTTTATCATTTGGTTTTGTTGTTCATATCCTCCATTAGAATGTATGTTGTAGGAAAGTAGGTAATTTTTATATCTTAAAAAAACACACAGCCCTAACCAGTTTGGCTTGATGGATAGAGCGTCGGTCTGCGGACTGAGGGGTCCCAGGTTCGATTCCGGTCAAGGGCATGTACCTTGGTTGCGGGCACATCCCCAGTAGGGAGTGTGCAGGAGGCAGCTGATTCATGTTTCTCTCTCATCGATGTTTCTAACTCTCTATCCCTCTCCCTTCCTCTCTGTAAAATATCAATAAAATATATTTTTTTTTAAAAAAGAAAAAAATCACACACAAAAAACAACAACCCAGAAACTGCATCCTGAATTACAGGTATTTTCTTGGACACTGGGGATATAAAACAATGAAGAAAACAGATAAAAATCCTTACCCTCCTGGAATTCATGTGATAATGGGAAGAGATACAAGATAAAGGAGATAATAAGAAAAATAGCCTATATTAGATGGTAATAAGTGCTATGAATAAATTAAAGTAGGGAAGGAGAATGGAGGCTTAATTGAAGGGGGCTATAATTTTAAATAGGAGGGCAGTCAGGGACAGCTTCCCTAAGGAGGTGGCATTGGAGCAGAGGCTTGAAGCATGGAAGGAGGAACGTCAGGAAGCCATCCGGTGAGGAAGGAGTTCTGTATGCAAAGTAAATTTGATATGGACCCTGAGCAGCACACACTTCAACCTATGGAAGGCTAATTTTCTTCATCCTTGCTCCTTGTGTTGTGACTCATGGCTTACAAGATCAGTGGAAGTTCCAAAAGAAAATTCAATTCCATCTGAGAGTAAGCTTACTTCACTGTTCAGTATGGAAAGTCAGTTTTCCATCCTGAGACTTGTAGATGTTCACCCTTTGCAGGTTGTTGGTTCTAAGGGGATCTAAGGAAAAGTGTTTTGTCTTGTTTGTACCTGCTTTTAGACAATAATTTGAAGGCAGTCCCTCCGCATAGAATTCTTAATGACACAATATCAAAAAGCCCAACATTCTTTTTAACATTGTAAATTTGCTCACTATCCTATATAATAAAAGGGTAATATGCAAATTGACCCTAACAGCAGAACGACTGGCAATGACTGGTCACTATGACACACACTGACGACCAGAGGGAAGACGCTCAATGCAGGAGCTGCCCTCTGGTGGTCAGTGCACTCCCACAGGGGGAGGTCTGCTCAGCCAAAAGCCAGGCTGATGGCTGCCAGCACAGCGGTGGTGGCGGGAGCCTCTCCCACCTCCTCAGCAGCGCTAAGGATATCCGACTGCAGCTTAGGCCTGCTCCCCGCTGTCAAGTGGACATCCGGGGCTGCCAGAGGGATGACTGACTGCTAAGGAAAAGTGTTTTGTCTTGTTTGTACCTGCTTTTAGACAATAATTCGAAGGCAGTCCCTCCACATAGAATTCTTAAGGCCTGGCTGAGGGACGCCCCTGAGTGCACAAATTTTTGTGCACCAGGCCTCTAGTCTAATCTAATAAAAGAGAAACTTGCAAATTGACTGCACCTCTGCTATGCCCCAAGTCACGCCCACCAGCCAATCAGAGCGACTATACGCAAATTAACCCAACCAAGATGGTGGCCGGCAGTCATGGAGCTGGAGCAAGCAGAAGGCTTGGTTGCCCCGGTGATGGAGGAAGCCAAGCTTCCTGCCTGCCCTGGCCGGCTGTGGCCTCCACTCAAGGCAACAAAGTTTCAGTTATAGAAGATAAATAAATCCCAGATACCTGCTTCCAGCCAGCCTCCACTGGGAGCTTGGGTGGCTGGGGGCTGTGGCCAGCCTGCAAACAGCCATAAGCTACTCACCCAGACTGGCCACACCCTCATGAGGTGAGGGTCCCCGCTGGGGGGCTTGGCCAGCCTGCAAACAGCCATCAGCCCCTCACCCAGACTGGCCAGGCACCCCAGCAGGGACCCCCACCCTGAAGGGGCTGTGGCCAACCTGCAAACAGCAATCAGCCCCTCGCCCAGGCTGGCCAGGCACCCCAGCGAGGACCCCCACCCTGAAGGGGCTGTGGCCAGCCTGCAAACAGCCATCAGCCACTCACCCAGGCTGGCCACACCCTCATGGGGTGAGGGTCCCTGCTGGGGGGCTTGGCCAGCCTGCAAACAGCCATCAGCCCCTCACCTAGATTGGCCAGGCACCCTAGCAGGACCCTCCACCCTGAAGGGGGTGTGGCCAGCCTGCAAATAGCCATCAACCCCTCACCCAGGCTGGCCAGGCACCCCAGGGAGGACCCGTACCCTGAAGGGGCTGTGGCCAGCCTGAAAACGGCCCTCAGCCCCTCACCCAGGCTGGCCAGGCACTCCAGTGGGGACACCCACCCTGAAGGGGGTGTGGCCAGTCTGAAAATGGCCCTCAGCCCCTCACCAAGGCTGGCCAGGCACCCCAGTGGGATCCCCACCCTGATCCGGGATACCCTTCAGGGCAAACCAGCCTGCCCCCACCCATGCACCAGGCCTCTATCCTATATAATAAAAGGGTAATATACAAATTGACCCTAACAGTAGATCGACTGGGAATGACTGGTCACTATGACACGCACTGACCACCAGGGGGCAGATGCTCAATGCAGGAGCTGTCCCCTGGTGGTCAGTGCGCTCCCACAGGGGGAGCTCTGCTCGGCCACAAGCCAGGCTGCCGGCTGCCAGTACAGTGGTGGTGGTGGGAGCCTCTCTTGCCTCCTCAGCAGCACTAAGGATGTTTGACTGCAGCTTAGGCCTGCTCCCCGCTGGCAAGTGGACATCCCCTGAGGGCTCCCGGGCTGCCAGAGGGATGTCTGACTGCCAGCTTAGGCCCAATACCCCGGGGAGCGGGCCTAGTCAGCAGGTGGTCATCCCCTGAGGGGTCCCAGACTGCGAGAGGGTACAGGCCGGGCTGAGGGACACCCCCCCGAGTGCACAAATTTTTGTGCACTGGGCCTCTAGTGTAATATAAAATTCAGTCTTTCTCCTCCTCTCTCAACCACTAAGTATTTCTGAAAGAATCCTATTAGTCTTTATTAGTGGAAAGCAAACAGAATAATAAATGACACTACCAAACTTTATAGATGTCCTTAACCTTCCTATTCAACTTCCCAGTCAGTGGCTTGGAGATATAATTGCCTGTGATTAAAAGTTTTCAGGTATAGCCAGTTTGGTAAAGTATATATGGAGAGTTCTGAAATTCTTGTCACATGAAAATAATGGGAGGAACAGCAGAGAGAACCAAGGGAAGTCTCTAAGGACTTTCTTCAAGTATTGGAAGGACTTTCTTGGGATGATTCCACATTTTTTCTATATTCCATGGGAATGCTGAGTTAGAACAAAGTTTTGGAATCTTTGCCCAAACAGATTTTAGCTAAACATAGGAGAATCATTTTAAAAGTCCTAACATTCCAATAGAATTGCTTGCCTCTGAATTTCCCACTGCTGAAAGCATTCAAGCGGGGACTGATGGAATCTATTGGCAATTTGAAGGAAGTGTTTCTGCATTTGATGCCGAGTTGAGTTGGATGAACTCTAGGGTCCTGTTTATACTAAGCTTTTGTGATTCTATGGCATGAGATAAAGACTGAGACTCAATTTATTTATGAATAGGAATTCACAGGATAGGACTGATGGTCTTGCCAGTTTCTTTTTTTGTGTGGAAGGACCTCAAGTTACTGAAAGGTGAAGTGGCAAGACAGATGGAACAATATCCCTTTGACATGTGCTTCAGACACTGACTACGTGTCAGTCTGTGGTGTGAAGACAGTGGGATTCCCCAAGCAGCAGGGGACCCTAGAGGGCAGTAACGCTTCAGCAGTCTCACGTGGCTGCTGCCTCCGGTACTGCATTTCTTTGCATGACAGCAAAATGACTTCACTGCAAATGTATGGAAAGACTAGCACCCATCAAAAGCAAGATTCCCAACTGCCTATCTTTACATTTTTTATATTTTATTATCACAAATTTGACTTTATAGAAAAACAACCTCATAAACTTTAATTTACAGAGGGATAGAGTTGTGGAGTTGAAAGAGCCTTAGAGCTTTAATCTTTGCTCTTCCATTGTGGTGCATCCATTACTGTTAACTCAGTCTGCTTCCCCCCAAGGTGGAGGATTGTACTTCTCCATAATATTGAGGTTGGACTTGCTTTGGTCGATGGAATATGGATGTGGTACATGTCATTTCTGAGCAGAAGCTTTTAAAAGCCAATTTTTCACTCTATTCTCTTTTTTCTCAGCCTCAACTCTATGCAGTGGTTCCAAGGTGTTGCTTTATCTACCTGGGTTACAGAATGAAGCTGATACAGAGAAGAGCCACAGTTGGCTGTGATGATCATGTTGCAAGAGTGAAGAACCATCCTTTGTGGTAAGCCACTGAGATTTGGGGGATTATTTGTTATTGCAGCATAACTGAGAGCAACTTGACTGATACAGAAACATATTAGGTTTGTAGTAGCTAAGAGATAATGAAAGTCTATTAATTATCATGATACTCATAATAATTATACTAAGAGCTAATATGAATTGGTACTTTTTATGTGAGAGGCATTGTGTTCAGCACTTTATTTTTCACAGTCATTTGATGGAATATGTATTAACTATATATATATTTGAATTTTTATAAGAGTTTATTTGAGCCATACTAATGACCTAAGTGGAACAAGATTGCAAATACTCCCAAAAATAACAAAATAAGTTTTGCAGTTTCTTTTATGCACTTGAAATTAAGGAGAGGATGTAAGGAAGATTGGAGAAAGTAAGGTGGGGATTGGATTATAGGATAATTAACAATATGACTGCTCTCTTGAGGGTTAATACCTCACTTCTGGCATTTCAAAGGTGTGGTAACCTAGATGCATAAGAACAATGGGCAAGGCTGCCTTAAAACCTTTCATTAAATGGGAGTTCCATTTTTAGTTTTTTGAGGAAACTCCATACTGTTCTCCACAGTGGCTGCACCAGTCTGCATTCCCACCAGCAGTGCATGAGGGTTCATTTTTCTCTACATCCTCGCCAGTACTTGTCGTTTGTTGATTTGTTGATGATAGCCATTCTGATGTGAGATGGTACTGCATTGTCGTTTTGATTTGCACCTCCTGGATAATTAGTGACTTTGAGCATGTTTTCATATGTCTCTTGGCCTTCCTTCAGGCTTCTTTCGAAAAATAACTACTTAGGTCCATTGCCCATTTTTTGATTGGGTTGTTTATCTTCTCTTTGTTAAGTTGTATGAGTACCCTGTAAATGTTGGAGATTAAACCCTTATCGGAGATAATATTGGCAAATATGTTCTCCCATGCAATGGGCTTTCTTATTGTTTTGTTGATGGTTTCTTTTGCTGTGCAGAAGCTTTTTATTTTGATATAGTCCCATTTGTTTATTTTCTCTTTAGTTTTCATTGCCCTAGGAGCAGTATCAGTGAAGAAATTGCTTTGGCATATGTTTGAGATTTCGCTGCCTGTGGATTCCTCTAGTATTTTTATGGTTTCCCGTCTTATGTTTAAGTCCTTCATTTTGAGTTTATTTTTGTGTATGGTGTACCACTTCTAGGAATATATCCCAAGAAACTAGAAACACAAATCAGAAAGGATATATGCACCCCTATGTTCTTAGCGGCACAATTCACCATAGCTAAGATTTGGAAACAGCCTAAGTGCCCATCAGCAGATCAGTGGATTAAAAAACTGTGGTACATCTACACAATGGAATACTACGCTGCGGTGAAAAAGAAGGAATTCTTACCATTTGCAACAGCATGGATGGAATCAGAGAGCATTCTGCTAAGTGAAATAAGCCAGTCAGAGAAAGATAAATATCCCATGATCTCACTCATTTATGGAATATAATGAACAACATAAACTGATGAACAAAAACAGATCCAGACACAGAGAAGCATTGATTAGACTGTCAAACCTCAGAGGGAAGGTAGGGGAGGGTGGGAGTAAGGGGGAGAGATCAAGCATATAAGCCTAACCAATGGACACAGACAACAGGAGGGTGAGGGCATGATTGGGAGGGGGAGTTGGGGGGCGTAATGGAGGGATAAAGACACATATGTAATACCTTAATCAATAAAGATATTTAAAAAAAGAAGTTATAGGCCTGGGTTGTGACCACCCACCATGACTTTCCCAGTTAGGAATTTATGATCTTTACTCTGGGAAGTTAATTTTCATAGAACCTCCTTTTGGTCTTAAATCAATCTGAAAGATGCATTGATGACCACTTTTTGGTCAGGTAGTGTTGTCTAACAGCGCTAGGAAGGCTCATTCCTAGGAAGTCTCAGTTATTGACATTGTGTTGACCACTGGGGATAGGGCAATACTGTAATCATGGGATCTATGTTGAGGCAGGATTTTTCCCCAAAAAAGGGAAGGGCAGGTAAATGGCAGGCAGTCAGATCTTATGGCCTTCATTGTGAAAAAACACTCTGGGTCATTTCTATTCTGTGAACTATCATGATCTGAGTTTTCCCTTCTCATCTTTCTGTATTTGGTATTTAGTATAACATTTACATGAGCTGTGAAAAAAGTATTAACAGATAACTTATACATGTTCAGTAATCATAAACAGTTGGACTATATAAAAAAGCCAAAGAACAAGTAAAACTATTATTATGACTGATATCATTAGCAGAAAGTTAAAGACAAAACAAAATGGATTCAATATCAATCTGTAGGTGTACAGGCCTTGTTGAGGTCTTGGGATAGCTGTCTATCTTTGTCAGTGGTTCCTCATCCTCAAGGAGTCTTTGACATCCACAGACAGGGGTAGATGTCCATTCACAGTTAGGTGCCTGATAAGATCCTTTCCAACAAGGTTGGAGTGTGTTTTTTATTAGATTCCTTTCCAATAAACACTATCTGTAGGTGGTAGTCAATGATCTTTGAAGTCTACATCTTCTGGGAGCTCGCCAAATTCACCTGATGTGATGCAAGTTGCCAGTGGGGCACAATGGGACCTTGTGTACCTAGCATTGAGTCAAGGTCCATGGTGTGGCCCTGGATGGCTTCCTCAGATTCCTGCAAGCTACTAAGTAAATGTTGACACTAAACCTGTGGAGAATTTTTATAAGAGTTTATTTGAGCCAAATGATGACACTTGCTGGGGAGCAAGATCTCAAATGCTCCCCATAATATATATTTTATGGATGAGAAAACTGAGGCAGAGAGTTCAAGTAATTTGCTGAAGGTCACATAGCTAGTGAGTGACAGAGCCAGGATTTAATCTTGGTCATGACCAAGTCCGGAAGCCAGCAGTTTCTCTGAGTTGTTCCCTGAGTTGTCCTTCTTTGCTCCAGTTCTCAAACGTCTCATCTATAAAATGAGGGTAGCAATACCCTTCTCTTGATGCTGTTTTGAGGAAAGACCCAGATAGAGAAAAGGCTTTCTGTTTTTTTCTCTGCTTCCCAGGATCATGGAGGCAGAACCTCAGAAAGATCCCAGAAGGTGGTTGACTGTGGGACATTGAAACTAATAGTAAGTTCCCCTTGTTTGACCTCTTTTGGCCATACTCCAAAGCAAGGATTCAGAATGATTTGGTCAGACACCCGTCAGGCTGTGATCAGCCATAGCAGCTCCAGAATGGCTGTGGTAAGATGAAAGGCCAGGACAGAAGCTTAACTATGACAAGGCCTTGAGAAAAGTGGCATGGTGTCAGTGTTGGGATGGTTAGACAAAAAGGGACCAAATAAATTTATCTCCCTTTTTGGATCTGAATGAAAACACGAAGTACAGAGGGAAAGTGCTCCAGAAAATCCGACAAACAACTTGGTTTGGTTTGTTCATGAAACAGTAGGTGGATTGGAGAATGTCATAACAAACCACAGAATGACCACAGAAATAACTGTGCATAGCTTTTAGCCAGATTGTTGAGATATCAGCTGTTCTTTCTGAAACAGTCTGAAAACTACTACACCCTACTTGGAATTTTTAAGCCCCAGGGAGAAAATTGAGAGGCCACTATTTTTTTTGCCCCAGCAACTCTTACGTTTCTTCTATTTAAAACTAACAGCATCTGTCCTCACAACACTGGCTATTTCCTTGGTTTTCTTCTATAGAATGACTATGTATGTATGGAGTTTGGTGTGCCCACAATGTAAATGAAATAGTCCTTTCTAGAAGGAGTTTATAATAGTTGGATGATTAATCCCATTTACCTCATTAATCCTATTATCTATATAATGTGTGTGTGTGTGTGTGTGTGTGTGTGTGTGTGTGTGTGTACGGAAAGAGGAATGGAGAAAATGAGAGAGGAGAGAAAACCTAAGTATAACAGTCATCGATCCTTTTATCATGGTAACGTTAACATCAGTATGCTTCCAAATTAATACCCATTCCAGTTTTTTGACAGAAGAACCAGGGTCACAAGATAATGAAAATATATCAGGGTGAAGGAAGCAGTATGGGAAGAATTTTAAGCTTTCTCCAAATGGTAATAAAAAGGGTGGTTTTCTTGTTGCTGTTCCTCTCCCTCTTCCTCCTCATCTTCTCCTTCCTCTTCATCTTCTTCACCTCCCTTTTAATTCCTTTTTAAATAGTAAAATATACATAAAATTTACAATCTTAACTATTTTTAAGTGCACATTTCAGTGACATTAGGTACATGCACATTGTTGTGTAACCATCATCATCATCTGTCTTAAGAAATGACTCTGTACCCATTAAATTATAACTCCCCATTTCTTCCTTCCCCTCTCCTCATCCATGGCAACCACCATTCTACTTTCTGTCTCTATGAATTTGACTTCTCTAGGTACCTCACATAGTGGAATCATATACTATTTGTCCTTTTGTGATTAGCTTCTTTCACTTAGCATAATGTCTTCAAGGCCCATCTGTGTTGCAGCATATGTCAGATTTTTCTTCCCTTTTTAAGGCTAAATAATATACCACATTGCTTTCATCTATCTGTGAATGGACACTTGTGTTGATTTTACCTGTTGGCTATGGTAAATAATGCTCCTATGAACATGGGTGTATAAATATCTGTTTGAATCCTTGCTTTCAATTCTTTTGAGTATATACCCAGAAGTGGAATTGCTGGATTATTTGGCAATTCTGTTTTTAATTATTTTAGGAATTGCTATACTGTTTTCCATAGTGGTGGCACCATTTTACATTTCCTCAAGCAGCACACAAAGGTCTAATTTCTCCACATCCTTGTGTGTGTGTGCGCGCGCGTGTGTGTGTGTGTGTGTGTGTGTGTGTGTGTGTTTAATAATAGTCATCCTAGTGGATATGAGGTGGTATGACATGTGGTTTGGATTTGCAATTCTCTAATTATTAGTGATGTTGAATATGTTTTATATACTTATTGGCCATTTGTATAACTTTCTTTTGAGAAACATCTATTCAAGTCTGTTGC